AATTCCTGATTTGCTCTTTCACTTGCGTTTGACTGAGGATGGTACGCCGTGGTCAAGCGTTGAGTTATTCCTGTTAGCTTGCAGAAAGTTTGCCAAAAGGTTCCCATCCAGTCACTGCCTCTATCACTTGTCAAATAACGTGGAAAGCCAAAGTAACGATAATATCGGTCGACAAAAACTTTAGCGCTTGGTGCAGCCTCCATTGTCTTTGTACCAAATAGAAAAACGTCTTTAGATAGCCGATCTGTTATAACCATTATATTTGTACAATCTTGAGAAGGTGGCATATCAGTAATAAAATCAATTGTCAGCTCGCTTCCTATTCGGTCAGGAATTGGCAGTGATCGAAGAAACCCAGCCTTCGCCTCTCGCCATACTGTTGTACGACCACAGACATCACAATTCCGTATAAAACGACGGACCGATTCCCTCATCTTTGGCCAGAACCATCGCCTTAAAAGTATGCCAATCATTGTATCTTTGCCCGGGTGACCTGCTGGGTAGCTATCGTGTGTCCGCTGCATTATCGCCGTTCGGAGTGGCTCATAATCGGGAACCCAAATTCTATTTTCCCTTCCACGAAGAACGCTATCTGCGGCAACCGTACACTCTGCAATGTTAGCGGTTAATTTCTGAGCGATATTTGGTGGGAAACTTCTCTCTCCGTGCTGGACAGCATCTCGCGCTCGTCGCCAATCATTATCGTAAATGACTACTTGATTCCATAATGTTTGAATCTCATCTTCGTCAGATATTCTCGCTGTCGCTGCTGGGTCTGCTGTACCGAGTTGTGCATCGACAGGTAAAGCTTTGACAGTTGGTAACAGTTGCATAATTCTACCCGTGGTTCGTTCGTCATGAAGGCCATGGGGCTGATCCTGATCGCGTCTTGAGAGAGCATCCGGCCGTTTGCAAGCATTGCCAGGTCGCCATTTCAGAGTGAAATTGAACTGATGTAATACATCGTAATACCTGGCCTGCCGTTCATTGAGTAGTCGCTTGGTCATGAAATAGTCTAAGTTCTTGTGGTCGCTCAAAATCGTGAATGGCTTTGCAACAGAACGCAGTTCAGCTTTCCACTCTTGCAGGCACGTGATTATGGCCAGCATCTCTTTGTCGTGTATCGGATAATTTGCTTCCGCTCCGCTCAGTCGCTTGGAGTAGTAAGCCACCGGCCTCAGCCGGCCTTGCTTATCAGCTTGAGACAAACATCCACCCAATGCATACCCAGAACAATCGGCTTCCACCACTGTGTCTCGCTCGGGATCCCATTGCGCTAGCACCGGCTCAGTTGAAAAAATTTGCTTTAGTCGTTCGAACGCCTCGTTCTCCTCAGGTCCCCATCTCCAAATTGAATCCTTCTTCGTCAATCTGGTCAGTGGTGCAGTTACCTCCGAAAATCTATCAACAAAGCATCGATAGAAATTTGCAAAGCCGAGAAACGATCGAACTCCTTTAACCGACGTAGGTGGCTTCCATTCTATGATGCTCTTGACCTTGTCAGGATCTACGGTCACCGAGTCTCCAGCTCTCACAATGTATCCTAGATACTTCACCTCTCGACATAGAAAATTGCATTTATCAATGTCCAAGTACAAACCAGCCTTCTCTAGCTTTCCCAAGATACTTTGAACCGTTCTCCAATGATCGGCCTCACTACCATTTGTGTATACTAGAACGTCATCCATGTATGCTGTCGCATCAACATCAAGGTGTCCTCGTAGTTGCTCATTAATATAACGCTGGAAGGTTGCAGGTGCATTCGCAAGACCAAATGGTGTAACAAGCCACTCAAAAAGACCATGGCGACATCTGAAGGCAGTCATCCATTCATCTCCCTCTCTGATTCTGATACGATGGAAAGCTGACTTCACATCTAGTTTCGTGAACCACCTAGCTTTTGAAAGTTGTCGCAAAGTTTCTTTAAATAATGGAAGGGGATACCTGTCTGGAAGAGTGACTGCATTCAGCCCGCGATAATCCACACAAAATCGTAGCCCTCCGTTTGGCTTTCTAGCAAAAAGTACTGGCGAGGCCGCCGGCGAACTACTTGGTCTGATCCATCCCTTACCCAGAAGATCTGTCAATGTTTTGCGAAGCACTAGAAGCTCCTCTCTTGACATACTGTAAAGAGGGCCCCAAGGCGGATGGACTGGCTTCCCATTCTCATTTCGGAGGTTTATAGCATGGTCAAGGTGATCTCGTGTAGGCGGTAGATCATTAGCGCCGCTATCGTCAGAAAAGAGGCGCGCGAACTTCTTCACAGGGCCCGGTAATCGGTCTCGAGCATCAGAGATCTTGAGACAATGTTTCGTACGGAGTGCCTTATTTATGTCGTCTAAGGAGGCTTTGCAGACGGGAACTCCCTTTTCCAGAAAAGATAATGCCTCAACAGCAGCACGTTTAGGCTCCTTTATTCCCCTTAGTTTTTGACGCCAGCGTCGAACACTGTAAACAGAACCACCGCTCTTCCTGAGTTCCAACCGCTGCTCTTTGGAATGAATTACTGCATCCTGGTCCTCTAACCATTTCTTCCCAAGTATGATCTGATGTGTACTGTGTGGTACTACATACAGCCACAATTTTTCAGTAACAAAGCCATCAAGGTCTATGGAGACCCAAGTGATACTTTTTACTATTGGCTTGTCTTGAGATGAATTTTCTGCTGTCTGAAGGGTTCGGGGAGAGATAGGTTTACATGGTAAACTTAGTAGGGCTGCTAATTCTTCATCAATGATACCTGAACACAGGCATCCATTGTCAATTAATGCTTGCACCATAGTGACGTCGTTAACTAATGCATTAACTAAAAATGGATTTGTATTCATCTTCGGTTCTTGTTCAGCTGCTGTCAAACTTTTTGAAAACTTTTTATCCAATATTATTGGCTGCACAAAATCTTTCCTTTCTTCTTGAATCGGTCTATCACTAGTAATGGCATTAATAAGGGGTGGCGATGTGTTCTTTCTCATTTCATGATCTGTAAGACAGCTCCCCATGACAGACCTCTTGGCTGACCAACCCATTGTTTCTCCTCGATCTCTTATTTGCTGAATTTCGATAGGACGGTTTATGAGTCTCGGAGAAATGCTATACGGATCCAATTCGTACACTGCCGGATCAATAGGACCTAGACCATCATCATACGGATCCACTTCGTAGACTGCCGGATCAATAGGACCTAGACCATCACCTTCCGGATCCAATTCGTACACTGCCGGATCAATAGGACCTAGACCATCATCATACGGATCCACTTTCATATTTTTTTTATAAATATGTAAACTTTTCTTAGTCTTTCGTGGATTAATTGCTGGAAGAAGGTGGCACACCCTAGATTGACATCCCCGTTTCTCACATCTGAAGCAGCTTCCTTCTTTCCGAAGCTTAGCTAGCTGATCTTCTGATTTCCATGTTGCCCTAAGAAAATTGTTTTCCTCCATAGAAATGTTGCAATGATCCCACTTCATCTTTGCAAAGTTGATTGACTGCAATTCTGACTGACTGATTGACTGACTGACTGCGATTCTGACTGCGATTCTGACTGACTGACTGACTGACTGACTGACTGACTGACTGACTGACTGACTGACTGACTGACTGACTGACTGCGGTTCTGAAGTTTGTGGAGAGAATTATAATATGTCACGGTTTCAGTACAAAATGCTTGGGCGATCTTGTAAGTACAGTATGTTAATTATAATTCTCTAGAGAGAGAATTCTAACAGCTAGTGACTACAAATATATATAATCCAGAATACTCCTCCTTCCATAGGATTCCCTCCATGACCAGAATTGTTTGGATTCTTCGACAACTTCCAAGAAGATTCTGGATTACACCATTGATCTCATTGCCTGCGCTAGCTAGCGTAGGCTACAGGGATAATTAGGCTTAACAGCCGTTACACTGAGATACTCCTCTTCTGTAAGGTTCTCCCTATATCTGGAATAACATGGAATCCTTGACAATACCCTAGAAGATTCTTGATACACCTGTTGTCCTCATGAACCTTCAGTATGCTTCCAGAAAGTTCATTGAGAATCTTCTAAGCTCCTTGTATTCCGAGATCCTTCCCGAAGATTCCCTTGCATTCATTGCCTGCGCTAGCCAGCGTAGGCTACAGGAATCCCTAGGCTTAACAGCCGTTACATTTAGGTACACTTATCATCAGTCATCTTGCTTATATTCTAACAATCAATAGGTGGTAAGAGTGAGGTTGTGGTAGGGAGGACAAGATTGTTCGCAATTGGTGAGTTATAGTTTTCGAAGGGCTCAATGAAGAGATCTTAATTAACTGTGCGTGTTGGACGCAAATTGTAACGGACGTGGAAGTCTGCACGCTAGGGACTCTCAATTGCTGGGCAGGGACAGAATGTCATGTAGAGACATGATTCATTCATGAGTTGATATTGTTCAGACGATCATGACTATATCACAATGTCATGTATAGACACAATTCATCGTTTGTACCTGTTGTATCAACCATGACTATGTCTCAGTGATATGAGAAACATCATTGACTAGTTACTAGAAACCTAATCAAGACCCTAAACACACAGCTGAGACTAGGAGAGTTATACTGAGTGAGTAATTATTCTGATGAATCTAGATCCAGAGGAACATAATCTGGTTGCTTGGCTCGAGGTATATGAACCTGAGCACATCATGTATTATAAAATATATAGAAATCTATCTCAATCACAATCATCATCTTAATTCATGTCACCATCAATAGCTGCAAAGGACAGTTTAACCATTTCCTTATACAGAATGAAGTCAATTGTGACAATCTTAAATAGCACACTTCTCCAATAGAGCGAGACGAACCGGGTCGATCATAGGAGTGTCACTTCCGAACTTGCTGGTCTGTGATTGCTAAGCAGGACTTATCTAGCGAAGCAACCACTGATCAGTCTTGGATGGGTTGTGTATCATGTACGTGACTAGTAGATGCAAAGAAAACTGGATTTATATAAATTCATTGTTATTGTTGGAATGTATGTCTTTTACTAGGCGCTTAGTGCAGTGCATCTCTCTTTTGCTGAGTCATTGTCTTGATGACTCAGCCAACACCGCAAACTGGACGTTCGCAGTGTTCATAGATAGAAACGAGAACAAACAAGAATCAATACCTCAACTTTCGTACCTTTTGTTTTGCATTGAACCAACCTTACGTATACGTAAAATAAGGCCAATCGACACTGATCAGTAGTCCACAGGCGACTACAGAACAGCAAGATTGAAGAGACTGCATTTCCTTTCGACACTCTCCTCTGGGCAGAAGACTAGATCTCCTGTGTAAGCCACGACAAGTGGAGGAACCTGCAAGTACTAATACATCGCGATATTGTATGATCGACTGCTAAAAGCGGAGATAATAGCCCCTTCGATTTGACCGAGAAAGATCAATTTACTGGTTGAAGCAGCATTTCCCAGCAGATTAATTCGTGTCATTCACACAAACAACAATCATTAAGTTTCTCCATTGAACTTGTGTTGACCAGCCCATTCTGAAGAAAAACACAGAACACCACTTGCACTGACTCTAACTTTTTCAATTCATCAGTTTACACCACAATTTACTTGAGTTTTTCTCGCACCACTTTGCAATAAACATCCGCCTTTTTGCGCATCACTTATAGCAACATATTTTCCCTTTTTTTTACCATTTTATAAGTATTCTCATCATCTCTCGCTCTCTAGGAATGGCTAGTTCACAGGACCTTCCCGGCCAAAAGTCATTGTCTGAAAATCCACCAGAATGTGACGGTCTTAAAGTGGCGTTTTATTCAAACTGAACTCAGAGCTAGATACAAATGAAAATCTTAAAGTAACGAGCAGAGACATGACTGAAAGCCTCCTATTTATTTACAAGACTATGATCTCGTTCCCTCATTTCATACCATTCTCAAAATAGATCATGACCTGTCCTCTGACAAACACCAGCATCTCCGTCTATTTTAATTCAGCTTCATTTTAATGTTAGTAATTTTAGTTATTAAAATAGTTATGATGCATGTGGCTTCAATGACTCACGACTGGTGTTCAAGTCGTCCTGTCTGCAATCTAAATTTTTCATTTGAGAATAGATTTGCATGAACTGGGCCAAGGCCTATACTTGGGTCTAATGAGCCGTGGGGGGGTTCATGACATGTATGATGTTTAATATGGTTGGAAGAGTTCAAGCCTTATTTGTTAGGCAACAGCCTAATGATAACCAGGTATGAGCCTGTGACACAGAAACGCTCTACGCACCAAAGGCAGAGGGATTATTGTCTAACATGGATTCGGATCACCAGGAGAAAGAATTGCTCGATCTAATTGACAGAACAACTGTGGCATACAGGAAAAAGGGACCTCAAGTATTGTCCCTTGAACACTGGAACAAAGAAGCTATACTCAAGAACAACTCCTCTTCCATAGCCATCACTTTATTTGCTATGGCATTTGTTGCAGACTGGGATTCAATCCCAGAGGTGTACAGCCCCTCAGCAATTTACCATGAGCTTTTAGACTATTTTGGTTACTTGACAGAGGCAATGTTTGAAAGAATTGCAAGTCCATACAAACAAACCTTTGGTGAAGCGTTCAAAAGACGTGGCTTTGAGAAGGATCATACAAGCTTAGGCAAATGGATAATTAAGATACGTGATGACGAAAACTTTATTGCCCCTGGTGATGAGTATGATATAACCCCATAACCGTTTTTAAAACCTCCCGCACATTGTGGAAACTCGAGGGACAAAAGACGATTGGCAAGTGGTCAAAAGCTGGCGTGGACTCAAATCATAAGATTCTAAACTAAAGAGAAAAGTACCTAGGAGGATATGAATCTGTACATATTTACATAGGAGTTCAACTGTTGAAATAGAGTTGCCAATACGAAACCTCCTGTCCCTCATTGCCTGCAACCCAAGGGTTTCGCATGAAAACCAATATCCATGACAAACCTTTCGTATCGTGATTTGTCACACACAAGACTCGTGTGTGTGAAACTAGTCGTTGGAATTCCTGGATTGACCCTGTGTCGGCTTATCAACTATTGAACCGACAGCCACGTGGCCACTGAAATGTCGGGGCGTCACACACATCAAACTCTGCTACCATCACATCTACATCAACACCAACTGCACTCTCCATATCCTTTAAACCCTCAACCCCTATTGCAACATCCTAAGCACTCACTCCCACCAGAAGCTGAACCTCATAATTTTATGGAGGCTGCTCAGCATCACAGTCAAATAGTGACCCACACATAGCCAGTACAACAAAAGTACCTTTTCTTAACAATTGGAAGAAGTCACTGGGAGCCTGGCAATGATTTAACATATCGTCCAACACCACAACCTCCTGTTCAACTTACTCAACCTGGCAATAGGATTGTTTACTCTTTAAATGAATACGCTGATTTACCAGCTCGAGAAGTACCCACCTCTTTAGTCAACACAAACCCCCAAACATGATTTATGAAAATTTGGAGGCAAGCTAATTATTTTATCAATGATATGTATGACCTACTTGATAACAAAACAAGCCAATTTTTCAGGGTCTGTGACAGTATTGGTGTCATATCAACACACCGAAAAGAAAGTTTTAGAGAGAAATATGACAAGCTAAACTGCCCTAAGTCATGCAGGAATATACTTAAGCAAGAGAAAGGAGGATGACTGTGTGTTTAAAATCGATTTGCATCAGAATAGCAGCAACACAATTCCTGGGTCTGCATTCAAACTTCCAGAAAAAGAAAAAAATATTTTCATTATTTGCATATCATTAGAACTAAAATGTATTGAGCAAGGAGTTCTGTTCTTTTATCATGTATAATGGGTCTGACGCAGTTTGTTGGTTTTGAACAAAAGAAAAATATTAAACCGCAAGTGTTGGAATGTATATCTTTTACTAGGCGCTTAGTGCAGTGCATCTCTCTGTTGCTGAGTCATTGTCTTGATGACTCAGCCAACACCGCAAACTGGATGTTCACATTGTTCATAGATAGAAACTGTTGAAGCTTTGTTATGGAGTGATAGATATGAGAGTGAGGTTTATGGGTCACAATGTATGAGATAACTGAGGTGCGGATGTATGAGTTCCTAACTATTGTTGTTGTACTAGTTAGGGTTGTATTGTCTATATACAAAAAAGGATTTCTCCATCTACAAGTGGGCCAGATTGCTTAGATCTGGCTAGCGGCTTTTGCCATCCTCTTCCTTCTCCCCCGCATTGCATCACGTGCTATACAACTACTGCTCACCATGAAGTCCGAGGATGAAAAGCGTTAGATTACAACAGAAACAAGAACAATAAGAATTCATACCTCAACATTTGTACCTTTTGTTTTACATTGAACTAAACTTACATATACGTAAAATAAGGCCAATCAATAGTTATTCTATTCTAGTTTGCTAAGCCAATATCTAACTAATAGCACGCATGCGCGTCTAGCTTACGTGAGCCAACGGATCAACTTCTCTTCAATGTTCCGCCAACAGTTGGATATGGTGGATAGCAACACTATATTTTGTTAGTTTTTGTGATGATGTCTCTCGAGAGACCGAAATTTTCGTCATGAAAAATAAAACCGAGGTATTTCATTACTTTAAAATTCATAAGGATAAAAAAGAACGGCAATTGGGAAAGAAAATTAAGGCAGTACAATTTGATGGAGGCTCTGAATATAAAACAATTGATTTTAAAGGCATTATTCAGCAAGTAAGTGCCCCATATACTCTACACCAAAATGGTGTTTCTGAGAGATTAAATTGTTTGCTGGTAACCATGGCCAGGTGCATACTTTTCCATGCCTGCTTACCACTTCGTTTTTGGGATGCCGCTATTCTCACGGCGTGCTACTTGCACAACAGGCTACCCATCTCTAGATGAAAATTAACACCCTACGAGGTCATGAATGGTCGAAAACTCTACATTTCCCACCTGAAAGTTTGGGGATGCGTGTGTTATGTGTTGATTGATAGCAAAGACCCTCGTCGATATAAGCTTTTGCCTACCTCCAACAAAGGCAATTTAATTGGGTATTGTGAATCTTCGACCCAATTTTGTATTTATATCCCTTCGAAGCCCGGCTCAAACAATGACATAATCTCGGAAAACATTTGTTTTCTTGAATACTCTTTTTGGAACTGGGATAGTTCATCTCAAGAATGAGGGTTTGACAGTGTTCCACGGGGTGCGTTGTATAGCCTAGTGAAGATCTAGGTGGTAAGTGAAGATAATAAATGGGTTAAAAGGATGACAGGTCTTCTCTAGGAAGAGATGAATGGGCAACTTGTTGCAGTAGATGTTACACGTGGGTCTTGCTGATGAAGAACTGGGCTGTGACAGAAACCGAGTTGATGATGAATTAATCAATTTACTAAACTATATGAAGAGAAAAGAAATCTCTAGCTACTAATAACAGGTACTTATAACGTTTGGTCCGCTTCGTGAATCTGCTGACTGATAACTTCTCCCTAGGCCTAATACTTGCTACCAAGCCAAATATTATCAGGAGCCATTACGCTATGATGTTGCTTCGACCTCCTGGCTGGTAGTGCCGTTTCATCTCTATTTGCCCATCCTTCCTCGTTCAGTCTTATCGTAATTATTCCTAATTAAACGCTAAGGTTTTCTCCTAAGCTAAAACAACGGTCAAACCGTAACATAGGCAATAGATATATGGTCTTCCCGAAGAAGAGATGGGTAAATAAAGAAGCCGTTGCGTGAGGAGTAAATCTCTCTCACGCTCAACTATTATATACAAGAGTAGAAGTATTTGCCAGCCGGAATTAATCATAATCAATTCTAGCCAATATCTTTGCATTGATGGCTGTGTTCTTGTCCTTCTCTTCATGACTCTCTTGTATATCCTTACATGACGTTTTACATGACTAATTGTATAGGGGAAGCTATTTGTTGCGCTACGGTTATTTTAGGTTTACCTGAATTTACTCATAACATGACTCGGGTCGGAGAAGTTAATGCTGATACGTGATGCGTATCAAGGAAAATATCTTTTTGTTCGGATTTTACATAACTCATACTTTGAATTGGGTTTACATTTATGTTTCCGATGATATTCTCATCTTATCTGTCCAGAGCACGGCTTGGTATGTTTCGGTGGTAGCATTATTGCCAGCGAGTTATCTAGTAGGGTTTCATATGAGGAAAATTATGTATTTTAGATACTTGATAGCCAGAGAATAAAGAGACAACCCT